AAGAAGATAAATATCGAAGCCAATGGTTCTCGAACATCTGTAACATACAAGGGATTAGTAACAAGAGAGGGGACACAACAATATGCACAGTAAATAAATTGATGGTTGTCGAATGCCTGCAACAAACAATGGGTTAGTAACAAGAGAAAGGACGAGTACGAGACGCGCGACCACCCTCCGCGACGGCTCACGAGAAAGTGAGGAAGCTAACACCGTTATGTATTGGGCGTACGCAGGTTTGTTCGCGTTGAATTGTTTTTGCCGGCTTGAACGACCTTCTCCTTGAACGACCCAAACACCAGATGGTACAGCCAGGTACGGCCATGGTACACAGCGTACACGGCTAGGTCAATAAACTGTGTGACGCAACGCACTAGCGCGTTGGACCGACGGAGAGCACCGATACCGCGGCACGCTCTACCGTACTCTCTCGCTCGCACACCTCCCCCCATAGACCACCGAAATTCCTCGGCACGCGTCAACACCGACGGAGAGCACCGATACCACGGCTCGCTCTACCGCTCTCGCTCTCTCCCGTTGGCCCGCTTCGACCATCTTCGGTATCGTTCGGTACGTGTCGACACCGACGGAGAGCACCGACACCGCGGTTCGCTCTACCGCTCTCGTTTATTTATGATGTTCATATTTCCCAAATAAATATCATTTTTAACTAATTTGTTTAAGCGACATGTTTCTTTGAAAGATTTAGCTCTCCAGTATAAATCCATAAGACCGTTATTTATTATTCATTTCATATCGTTAAATACGATTTTTCTCACAGGATACCGATTTCCATTACAGTGTCATAAAATAATTGCAAATATGAAACTTCTTTACCTGTTCTTGAACATTCTAATTTCATAGCCCTAAACTGGGTACCTGAAAGTATTTCATTGAATTTGTCTAAAAGATTTTACTACTTCTCCCACATATAGATTTGATAAACTATTTATGAAACTACATCTATTCTGAATTTATCTGTTACAAATATCCAAATGTAAGGCAAGGTATAAATACGAACAAAACAAGAACATGTAAAAAGTAACATTAGTAAAATGTCGATTAACGATGCATTTAGAATAAATTGTCTTGTAGTTAAGTGAACAAATATATACTTTTACTTTACATTCCCCGGTCTGGAACACCTTTTTTGCTCACGAGCTGCACGTAAGTCCTTATAACTATAATATTTCTGGATTTGTCGTGAAAATACAAATTTTTCTATTCAGTTCAATTGTTCAACAAAGTATTCTCAAAATTTCAAGCGATTGGTTTAATACTTTCTTCCCAATAAATTTCCAAATATTCGTTAATCGTTAATTGTTAGCTGTTGACGTTAGAACTGCCTAGATATAATTTATGTTGGTTTGAATTTTCTACAGATTTTAATTTAGGGTATATTATGCTACCGTCTGATATTCTGTATATTATTCTATTATACAATTTACTTTAGTACACATTAAATTTCTATACTTAAAAGTTTTTCACGTTTAGCAAATATGCGTTTATCGTCGGTAGTTCTAATGTTAATACTTCACAACGCTACTCTTATAGCACAGTTCCCTCTTGCACTGGACCTCTCAATCGATCGATGAATCCTCATGGATCGCGAGACACCTTTATTTCCATCCCGTTTAAAACCCAACGATATTCGTGGAGCATGTTCAATCCTTGTCCTGTCGCCAGGTTTCTGGAACAATGTTACGGAACAATGTGCCGAAAACACCGATGATCGTAACAATGCATCGCAATGCAGAAAATGGCGGGTTATTGTTTGCGAGGTAGAGCTGGTACCGGGTCTCTGATCGATCGGTCGAGGCATTCTTTCGGCAACGATCAAGACGGCTAGAGAGAGAAATAGAGGGAGAAACGTGCAAGAAGCTCGCGGCTACTCTGTTGTTCCGATCGATGGGCGGCGAACAAAACGGGCCACCACTGGTAGACGGAACGGGAAATCAACGTCGACGCAGAATTTCGGTCGTTGATACCTTTCCCCTTTTCTAGATGGGAAGGCGAAATCGGACGGTACGATGCGTCGAGATGGAAGGAAAGGAGTACGCTCGAGTAGATCGTAAAGAGTGAGAGACCAATAAGACGAGTAGAAGAGGGACAAACGTCCAAGTAGTTTCGGCCACTTTCGGTGAATACGAGAGAGGAGCCGTGCATGGCTGAGGAAAAGTTTTCGTTCCGACGTTGGCTGTTTTCAGCGTTTTCGGCGTTGGCTTTATTGAGTTCGCGTGTTCGAATACTTTGTTTCTGTTGTACTATACTTAGTTCTGCTTCGTATATATTTTCTGACGCAGCGGAAGTTACGATCGGCAAGAATTTTATGGGTAGTATGTGTCGAGCATCGAACACGCGTGTTGAATGTTTGAACCGAT